AAATGTGTTCGTGCGTGCGTGTGTATGTGTGTGTGTGTGTGTGTGTGTGTGTGTGTGTGTGTTACTGAGGCCTGAACTCAGGGCCTTTACATTAAACTATATTCTTATGCCTTTTTCATTTTTTTTTTTTTATTTTAAGACAGGGTCCTGTTAAGTTTCAAATACTTCAGGTTGGGCTCAAAATTGTGATCTTTCTGCCTTAACTTCCCAGAGTGCTGGGATAACACATGTACCACCTTAATCTGCCAATCTAAGTAATTTTAAGTAAAAAAAAAAATAGTAAATTTTATGAGTGATTTTCAGGAACATTGTTTTTCTAAAATAATATATAAATATAATTTTTAATGATAATAATTTATATCTGGATAGGTATAAAATATTGTAACAAACTTCTAACCAAACCACAACCCAGAATCTTCTATGAGTAAAACCTTATTTCTCTTTTAGCATCACAAAACTTTTTTGATTATAGAAATGCATGAACAATATTGATTTATGAAGTAATTATGATGACTTCTTTAGTCTATAAAACAGTCTGTGATTGTTCTGGAGTTGGAGAGGATTAACTAAAAGTTGCTGAATCTTGAGTTTCGTTTATAGATTCCAATATAATTATATGGTGGGTTACATTTAAAAAAAAGAAAAAATAAATCCAGTAGATTGATTTAAATTTTCCCTAATCTCAGGATATATAAATATCTCAGGATATTTAAATAGATATTTAAATAGTTCACCTATCAACACAAAGTATATGCTGTTTCCAAAGATATTTATAGACTCTTTAACTTTGACAATATCTTAAGAAGTAGAATTAGACATGATTGCAGAAAATAAGTCATGCAGGAGAGATAGCTTGAAGAAGATTTCAAGCTTCAGATTTCAAGAAAATTTTAAGAAGTTTTATAAAGTGTTTGTAAAATGTCTATGATTGCAAACATGCTTCCTTTCTAATATAGTGAATTTTGCTGTTATTTTTCATAATATTAATTAGATTGACCCTACACAAATTAAAGTACTCAGTTGTGTATGCATAATTGAGTCTCATAATTCTTGAAGGATAACAGAACATCTAGAAAGAATTTCATACTTGCATTGTTTTTTAACTTGTGAGCGCATCATATATTATCTCAAAATCCAGAAATATATGTAACTAAAATATGAAAGCATAGGTTAAGCTCTTTGTTTCAAGTTTTTTTCTATTACAACAATGAAATTTCTTTACATATTTATTGGCAGTTGCATTTTTCTGTTTAGAATATATTCTAGGGAAGCAGAATTGAGGAAAAATAAGAGTGCTGGAGACATCACAGTTTCTAAGTATACCACAAAGCCATAACAACAAAAGCAGGAAAGTATGAGGTAAAAATCCCTGATACATGGACCAATGGAAAAGGGTAGAGGATGTGGAAATAAACTCATGCAGTTACAGCCATTGGGTTCTTGACAACAGAGACAAAAACATGCTAGGAAAAACACATTCTCTTTAATGAATGGTGCTAAGTGGTGCAATCAATATGTAAAAGACGGAGAACATGTCACAGTCTCTCACCTTGCACAAAATCAGTTAAAAAGAGATCAAAAAGTTAGGGAGAAGACTTGAAACTTTGAAACTGCTAGAAAAAGACAGGGGAAACACTTTAAGACATAATCACATGCAACAACCTTTAAAATAGTACTCCTATGGCTTGTGAATTAATAACAAAATCAACAAATAGAATTACATCAAATTAAAAAGCTTTTGCACCGAACAGAAACCATACAATACACAGAACAAAGAGCCAGAAATGGAAGAAATCTTTATTAGATACAATTTGAATGCAGTGTTTGTATCGAGAATAATGAACTCAAAAAATTTAACACCCAGTAAACAAATAATATAATCAGTAAATGGAGAAATGAACAATACAGACTCTTCTCAAAAGAAGTATAGATGGCCAATAATTACGTAAAATATGCTCAACAATTTTAGCCATCAGGGAAATACAAATCAATGAAATTCTATGTCATCCTAGTCAGAATTGATATCATCAAGCATCCAAGACAGAACACAGGAACCCATACACACTGTTGGTGAGAATGTAAATTAGTACAGTTAGTATGGAAGTCAGTAAGAAATTTCTTCAAAAAGCCAACAAAACAAAACAAAACAAAACAAAACAAAACAAAACAAAACAAAACCCTGATTGGAGATGCAACACAGTGTACAACTATATATATATATATATATATATGTATCAATTGTATCAATCAGTGGATTGATTTACTAATTATATGCACTTAATCCCAGAATCGCACATTTTAGATTCAGCCACCTCTGGCAAAGCCCTCTGACGGTGTGAGATTTTGGGGGGACATCTAAATACAAACATAACATGTACTAATAAACAACATACATTAAAGCTCAGGGGCAGATTGCTTATCTGGAATGTGGAAATCTTTGATTTAAGTTCCCAGTACCACACAAATAGTGTACTTTGTATTAACAATTTCCTGAAGCTTGAAAATTTGTTTGTATTTTGTTATTAATAAATCATGCATTGAAGAACATATTTTTTGTATATATAAATATGTGAGAATTTTAACAAATATTTTTCTAGAGACAGAACTGATGGTACATGATCATGCGTACTTTTGAGTCTGATAATACTGATGTAATTTCCTCCCCTGATAATAAGACAGACATGGCCACTTGTCTTCACCATTTCCAAACCAGGTATCATCCATGCTAATTATATCAAAATTTAAATTTCTATTTCCTTGATATTAATAATGTTGGTCATCTTTTCAAATATTTATTTTTTCTTCAGAACATTTTTTTTCAGATTTATTCTTTATAAAACTATTTTTCTATAAGTTTATTTTTCTTATTGATCCATTGTTATTGTATTAATTTAGTTGACTAGTACACTGATCTTATGTAATCTATTTGAGATCTAAACTTAAAGGAGGCATAACGGTGGGTAATTTCCAAGGCTTATGTACTTTCAGCTGCCGTAAAGACATGTTCTGGATATGGAGGAAAACGGGAGGTGGGCTGGTTAGAAGTTGTAAAAATATTTAAGATTCAATGTGTATGTGAACCAACTCCCCAAAATGACTATAATTATTATGTATCACCAATACACCACACTGAAAACATATCTTATTCATAGCAAGGGTTAAGCAACAGTTAGATAATTTTTTATTGATTCACTGTATTATGTACCTAATCCACTGCTGTTTATAAAGAAACCTCTTAAGAGTCTTTGTGGAGCACAAGAGCAAAAAAAAATTAGGATAAACAAGTTAGAAAAATGTAATTATTTGTGTTTCTATTACCTAATTTCCAGACTCCCCAAAGGGAATCTTTGAAGGACCTGTGGACAATTGTCAAGTTTAAGTACCAGCTCATTGTCTTACTCACTTAATAGTGTCGAAGAGAATTTTCTTAGGCTTTCTCTCCAAATATATATCTTATGTATCTCATAAATGTAGATTGTAGACAATTTTAATTGTATACTTCTTCAAGTTATCAGTAAGTTTTGTGGAGACCCCTTTAAGTCTATTTTCCTTAAGTCATTTGAAATTTTAAGCTATTTTACACAAAGGTGCACATGCGTATTAATTTATTTTATGAAGCAGAAAGACTATTTAGAAACATGGAAGAAAGTAAACAAAAATCTTCTTAGAAAGCATAAGTTGTTTCTGAAGAACAAGAAACAATATCAGGGTCCATACAGACAGATTTTGACAGGTGATTTTCTTTTACTAAAGAATATGTAAAGACTTTTACCCTTACAATTTTCTCACCATTGTAATGCCCTAAAATTTCTAATAATCTCTAAAGACTGTGGTATACTTTCATCACTTTGCTCATTTAATCTTTCTTGAAGTTGCTTACACTATTGCTCTTTTTTCTACAACCTGCTTCCTACCCCTTGATCTGTTAATTAAGGCTTCCCCTTCCGAGAGGCTCGGCCCTGGTACTCCTGCCAGCTAAGTCCGTGTGCTCCCAGGTGCTGCTTTGCACTCACCGTTTGCCTTTTCATCTCTCAATTTATATGATCTCCCTCATTCCCCTTTTCTTCAGCTGCTCTGAGCTTGTTTTATTTTGTGTGCATAGACAAAAAAATGCCCTCATGACAAGAAATGTCAGTACTAATCTTATTTTCCATTTCTAGCGTGTATTTTATTAATTTTTTTCCCATTTCTTAACCTACATCCTGACACAGTGCCAGGCTTATTTCAAGATTTTTAACTCGGTCAACACCAACTGGCATGTGTTAAAGTAGAAGAAAAAAGAAATCAAACAGAATAAGAATTACTGGAAATCAACAGTGCTTTTTGGATGAAGGGCTTTGGTAATTGAATTGTTACACAGCCACTAGGTGTAGGGAAGGGATTCAAAATGCCCAAGATAAAACTGAGGTGTATTATTGAGTCCTTTAAATTAGATTTGAATAGTTCATTCTTTGATAGAGCCTATTCCTTTAGGAAAGCATGATATGCCTGAACCTGAAAATAAAATTATTCTCAGACCTAGAGCTCATTGTGGACGCAGCAGCATTCCTGGAAATGTAAGGCATTGAGTAATATAATGGTGACATTTTTATGATTGCTTATCTGCATTAGGAATCAAACATATTGCATAGGTGTTTTTTTGAGCTTATGTTTTCCTCTATAAATGAGCAAATAGAAAAGCTGATTTTTTTTCTGATATTTTACTGAGTAAATAGAGGTTAGTATTTCAAAATTTCCTGAATACCTGTTTCTGTACTTTACCTTAGACCAACTTTTTGCACATTTTGCAGTAAATTTTGTTTAACCCTCTTGTGCAGGTGTGCATCGGTAACAATTTAGATCAAAATGGCCTTTGAAATTGCATGTTTTCAAGGCGACTGAATCACAGGGATGATATAGCTCACAATGCTTGGTGCTTGGGTAAAGGTCGGTGCTGGGGGGTACGATCAGGAAGGCTGCATCTCCCTCCCTGATTCCTCCCTTCTCTCTCTGCTTCCTAGCTGCCGTGACGTGCGCCGTGTTCCTTTGCCAGACCCTTCCATCATGTGGTTTCTGCTTCGAAGCCAGCTGATCATGGCCTGCAGCTATGCACCAAAATAAAACTTCCCCCTCTTAAAGTGGTGTGTACCAGGTATTATGTCCCAACAATGAGAAAAATGACAATGTCTTAATGTGAAACAGACATTTAAACAAAGGTCTAGAGTCCATGGAACACTCTACTCCAGAAAGAACTGTTGATTTCTACTAGTGAAAAATAAAACCAATTATTAAAAACTAAATGGCTTCAATTATGGTGCAATAATAAAACAGTGAACTTTTTCAAAAGTCAAGGTCATCCCTGAATAGGTGTAGCATTTCTGAAAAATTCTTTATATCTTACAAACTTTCAACACAATGTATACTTGCCATGCGCCTTAGTGAGTGGCTGCAAACATTCAAGAGCTGCCACAGTCTTCTAAGGCCACGTCCTTTTGTTCAAGTGTAAGTGTAGGTTTGCTGATCTTTCACAGGAATTACGGCTTTGGGTTAAACTCTGATATCTTACATCTTGAATAGAACAAAAACAGTGTTTTCAATTTTTCTATAAAAAATGTTAATGTCAAAAAATGAAATAGTTTAATTCATCTGTATCTTAACATGGAGAGGTTTTAAATAGTCTAGACCACAGCAGTATTAATGGTTTTCAGTGCAACTTATGATGACACATATCTCGTCAAAAAACGTGTTTCCATTTTCTTATATTTCAATGTCATTTAACTACTTCAGGCTCAAAAACCGCAGTTTCCTCATGGGTTTTCACTAGTCATATGTTGTGAAACACGGGAGTTTATATTAAATCCATTCTAGGCTTTAAGGATTAGCATTTCTTAAGGATCAGCAATTGACTAGGAGAGAAGTGATCTGGGAAGCTAAATGCCTATTGAACTTACCAATTATTTCCTGCTTTAACAGAGACCGGCTTGGCACTGAAGTCCTGCTGTGCTTGTTTCCAGTGGTTTTTACTCTATCAGTGTAATCAAGAAAAATCAAGGACCGGAGGAGAATGTGATGAGTCAAGTCTTCAATTCTAATGCAGAGTGAAGATGGGACATTCCCCACCTCTGAGACCTGAGCTTTCCTTTCCCGTGGTCTTCACTCTCCTGCACTCTGTCAAGTATTGAAAGAAGTTCAATTTCAATAACAATTTTTTGTAACTGGTGGACAGAACAACAGTGTCAGTACATAGAAAACATGATGCACATAATGTCTGGATCACCATATTTTAGGCCAAAGTTGGGAGAACTAGGATAGCTAAAGTAAAATAGCATCTCACTTTTGTCACAGGCTGCCTTGTGAGACTAATGCTATTGATCTGATAAAATTTACAAACACAATAATCATAAATAAAATCAAAGAGCTAATCAATTTGAGTACATGATAAATTTTACATTTCTGGATGTGTAACATAAGATCCATACTCAATGATGAGGAGAATAATTATGTAATGACATGATATTTTTAAATTGTTGTCTGTCTTTGTACTTGCTAATAATTTCCTTCACCTATGAAAGTCTTTATAGAAAGCTAAGCATTCGGTTTTCTTGCTTTAGGAAGAGATAAAGTCACAGAAGACAGAGGGAAAAAAAAGCACATTCGTTCTTGAGTTTTGATCTTCAAAGAGCCACTTCAAAGTGATGGTCAGGAATTATGGCTCCCTTTTACATTCTACACTCTATCAAGAAAAATAGAATTGGAAGAGAAATCACTGTGTCATAGATAAGGTAGATGCCGAAAGAGAGAGGCATTAGAAGCCATTGCTTGCTAAGATTAGGCCTAGATAAAGCACTGGTATTTCAAGGCATTTGAACACAGATAACTTGTCTTTCCTTTTCTGAATAAAACTTAGGGACCCAGCGAAGAAGGTCTGTGAGCTATGTTTGTTGGGATAATTAGATGAAGTTAAGGAGTTTCATTTATCCCAATATGGTTCCCAAATAAAATGAAGTATGTCTCTAACTAAGTCAGAGATGAGCCAAGAGGTATTTCTAAAGAGACTTTGAAGTTGGGAAATGTCTACTTTAATTGAACCTACAAGTACTAATATTTGTAGACTTTAAAGACAAAAGAGAGCATTAAGTTTTTGCTTAAATGGTTTTACTCCCAGGCCTGGCTCAGCCCTTTGAAATCTAATATAAGACTACCTAAAAACTATGATAAAGCTTAAAATGATTAGTATTATGCTTCTACTGTTGGATTGAATGGGATAATAAGTAAAAGGTTTTGATAGTGCATATTTAGAAGATTAGATTAAGCTTCCGCTATTTTATAGCAATAAGGCTTCCTTTCCCAGAGACTAATGAAAATTGATTAACAAATGGAATGGGAGGTAGGGGTAAACCTGCCAGGATTTAAAGTGCTGGGTACCTGAGAAAGAGCCAAGTTTTATACCGCTGATTCCTGCCCTCCACTGAGGAAGCTATGTCAGAAATCACTGGCAGGACACCTATACAAGTTTTCCAAGGATCTAAATTTTCGTTATTTTCAGGGTAACGTCTAGGAAGGTGCCAAATAAGATATTAGGAAACAAACTCTGAAGACAGAAGCCCTTAGACAAATGTGGAAGTCACTGTGTCCTTGGAGTAGCTTTGAAAAAGAGGAAGAAGATACATACAAGTAATAGCAAAGTAAATGGAATATTAGCTCCCCTAGGTGCATGGGGTCTTGGGATGCAATGGTTCTTGGACTCCAGAAGAATGCAAATAGATTTTCAAAAGCTAATCTTGCTTTGATGACTTGTCAAGAGAAATATTTCCATGTACTTTACATGAACTAAAATCAAGGGTTAGATGTGAGCAAAAACACCTCAATGGATGCTCAGAGGATAGGTAATAACCCAGCCAAATGTGCCATTACACTTGGATACTCATTCTCCTGATCTGAGAACACATCCCAGAGATAATGAGAGGGAGTATGCAGGGAAAATTGATGAGTTATCTAAGATTAAGTCTCACTAGAAGGAAGAGTATGGATTGAGAATTGAGTGATTTGATGCAAAATTAGAAGTATATTTCTTAACCAATTGAGTTTATGGGATGGGATTTAAAATGCTTCTTATTTACAAGTTATTTTACAGTTTTTAAAGTATATTCTTTTATTTCAAGTGCATAGCAGCAGCAATAAATTGTGATAAAACATGTTTACACTGTAAAGATTAAAATGCAGACTTAGATATTGAGGCTACCTGAAATTAGATATTTTAAATGCCTCCATAATTAGAATTACTGCAAGTTTCAAAATTTTAGAATATTCCCTGAGTCTGAAATGTAGGCCTTAATGTTATTCAGGCTTTTCTGATAAATAGCTATTTTAGATCAGAATAATCTTAAAAATCAGTATAATAATCAATTATTTTGCTCTAGATTCGGGAGTTAGACACCAGAAATCAACTCTGGTTTTCACACTGCCATTAAGAGGCTCTTTAAAAAGATCATTTATTTGCTATTGTCACTTACTTATATTTATATTTTTTGTGAAAATTTCAAGGTTGAAATATAAATGACTTTATCATAGATAATTGTTATTTCCTATTTTATACTTTAAAAAATTCTTTTCTAAAGCAAGGAAATTTTATTTAGTTCTAGTAACTGTAAGTCTAGTAAACTGGTAAGTATAATTTATGTAAGGTGAAATTAAGGCCTTTATGTATTTGTTATCATTTGAAAAATGAAATGAAACTAATGTGAAAAATTAAATGAAAAATATCATATATTCTGGGCTTAAACAATTATCAGTTACTTGTAATTAAATATTCAGTGTCTTATGTGATTATTGTGATGTAGATATAAATGCATGACATAAAATAGTAATTTTGATAAGCTAAGTATTTTATCAGACATAAATACTTTGGAGTATCTTATATTTTGAATATCAATGGTATGCTGTATTACTCTATGTTTCCTTTATCTGAATAGTATCTTATGGGATTTTATATGGGCTTTTCTCTCAGATTTTAAGTATAGTTTTTCAACTGTATGGAAATTTTTTGGACTTCTGCAAGTGTTATGCTTTTGTTGAACTGTGTTTTAAAAATGCACATGCAAATAAATTTTTTCTTTTAATTGTCCCACATAATGATGTTTCTATAAAAGATACAATTTTAAATTGGCTGCCTATTACTTCCACGTCTAATTTCTTTTCATTCAGCTTAGCTGATGATAGCATAATTTTGAGTTTCATAAGAGTACCAGTTAGTTTATTTCAGTTGGTAGCTAAATTTATAAGAACTTATGGAAACTCAAGGAAATTCACGTCATTCAATTATTTCACTTTCCCAGTAACTAACATATTCCATATGATAGAGTATCTGTGTGTACGGAGCTAAATACTGGCAAGTAGACCTCAAAAGAGCATTAAAAAGGATAAATAGATGTACTTAAATGATCTTTCAAAAAATTTCAATAAAATCACATTACTTCACCCTTAAAATAGATTAAGTTTTCTTGTGGGATAAGAAACAAGAAAAATTATTTGTCAGTACCTGTAATGTCTGACAAAAGCTGTTCCCTGCTTATCCCTCAAACTTCAGCTGGTCTCTGTCTCCTTCTATCAGTTTTGTGCAATTCTTCTGGTGTTTGATGGCCTTCAGTGCTGAGTGATTCTATACGCAACGGCTTCCAATGCCTGCTAACTCTTCTCTGTAACCTCTTCAATCTGGCTTACTCTTACGCATCTTTTAAGGCTTGACTTAAAATATTTCTGTGACAGCTTGTCTAACATTCTAGGAAGAATTAGGTTATTCCTCTGGAATATGACGTCTTCAAAGCTATTTCTTACTCTCTACCTAAGATCTTAACACCTGAAAACATTCAAAGAATAATTCTTCATTAGAAGATCTTTGGAATTGTAAAAACTTTCAAATTATTTTTCTTAAGGAAATAGTTTCGTGTGGGAGTTACTAAGGGCTCTGTTGTTTTACCACATCATTATTTCTACTCTAGTAACTGTAAGTTTCCATTTCAAATTAATATCTGTATAACCCTCAACCCCTAAATATCTTGGTCATATCTTCAAAGCTCAGAAACTAAGTTTTTCATATTTTTCATTTTTCTTAAAACCCATAAGGACTGATTACAAAGAAGAGAGTTGGAAAAGAGACATTACACGAGGAACACAGACTTCTGAAAAATTTCATTTTTAGGAGCTTCATATTGGGCAAAGGAACCTGCCTCATTTTGCTCATTGGACATACGATCTACTCCCTAACTTGATTAAGTCCTCATATAAGTGGGCTAGAGAGTTTGAAGACAGACAGGAGTAAGTCTACCTAGACAAGACAGTCTGTAAGTCTACCTGCAAGCTTAATAGCAAGGACTTCATCATACTGCATTTATGCTTGTGCAAAAAAGAAACAGATTTTAATAATATGCTTCATTATTTCATGCTTGTATTCTCCAATTTAAATTTCTTTCTCTTTCCTCGTTCATTATGCCATGAGAGTCCCTTTGGCCCAGTTGACTAAATAGCAATCTGGAAACTCAGATGCTGTTTAGCTAATTCCCTGCTGGGTTTTTAATTTGCTGTGTAACCTTGAACATACTCCTTAATATCTCTGTGCTTCAATATTGGGATCTGTAAAAGAGTGGAAAAAAGTATTAAGCTGCAGACATAGTTGTAAGGAATGGCTAGTTAATGTGACTGAAAAGCACTTTGAACATATAAAGTCCTCACCAAAAAAAAAAAAAAGGAAATCTACCAAAGTCTAGAACAACTGTGAACAGCCTTAAATGTACTTAGCTGTGAATGGAAAGGCTTATGTTTGATTTGATGAAAATTTTCCTGGCAGTGGGCTATTAAAATAGGCTACCTCTTTGGCTTATATCTTCCTTCTGTTTCACATTTTATTATGTCAGTGCCAATCATCCATCAAGGTATATGTGGAAGCTATAAAGTAGGCACCATGCCACAAGTATAACTGATTTTATGATCCATGTCCAAGCTTCAAGCGAGTAACTTTCATTAGTGGTCAATTTCAATTTGGACCTTAGACAATTATGGCTGATATAGGCAGCATTTGTCAAGTAAATGATGTGGTTGGCTCTACAATTTCACAATTTAAAGCATTACTGTTGCTAAGAATTTTTGGTGTAGAATAGCTTAGAAATTTGAGGTTGTAGAAAATTCAGGCATCAGAGTAGGGAAAGACTACTTTGATTCTTGTACTTTTAGGCAAAAGTTCCTCTTAAGGCTGCACTAAACCACATGCTACGCAGTCACTTGTTTTTATCTTATTTTCAAATTTATTAATAGATCTCATTAACCTCTTTCTTGAGTAGATGCTAATGAGTTGACATCTGAAAAGGTTTGATTTTCCAGAGGGGAAGGTTAAAATGGTGATTAGAAATTAAAATGTGTATCTAAAATAGCTTAAAGGAATTTTAAAAATTGACCACAGAAGCCATATAACAATTCATACAAACATTAGTATGTTCTATTGAACTTTATTATTAAAATTTATCAAATCAAATTTTTTTCTAATTGTGGCATCAGCCTTCAAAATGAACATGAATCCCCCCACCTTTAAAATCCAACAATATTTTTGAAATGATGCAAGAGCATGATCAAGATATGCTAATACTATTGAAGATATAAATAAGATATAAAATCCAATGCAAAAATTCTACTGAATTATCATATGGATAAGAGGTTTGCTCTCCATTTTTAAAGATTGCTCTAAAAATGTCAATAAACTCTGATGGATGTGCATAATACTTCCATCAGTTTATGAGATGTAAATCTTGTGATGCTTACAGAGAAGAAAAAAGCCTGAGATTGTGAGATTCCTTTGATTTACTCACAGCTTTTGCAGTAATACTCAGGAATGTATCTCAAGTTTCACCTTCTAACTTGTCTATCATTGGTGAAAATATTTCAAAGAATTTATAAAAAAAATTAGAAATGTGATTCTCAGTATCTCAGTAAATTCATAGTTTTTCAAATCAAAATACAAACCTCTTTATATATATCTTTTAATTGTGATTATTATAAGATTAAACTTCTCTTAAACCTGCCTTACATAGAAAACTGAAATCTAACTTAGAATGTAAGCAAACTGTAATCCAACTTAACTGTTTATCTTGTAACAACAACAACAACAAAAATTGAGCCTCAGCCAATCAAAGTTCCTACCCACTCATCAGACCTGTCCATGCGTGGCAAAACCACATCTCAGCATGCTCAAATAAGGAAATGTGCATGCTATTTCTGTATTTCATTACCTTTTTATATTAATAAATACCACCCACCTACATTGTTGAGTAGAAATCACTGAATTTCTTATGTTTGAGTCCTATGTGGTTCATTAATAAATTTTGTGCAAAGAAACTCTGCTAAATTTGGTGTTTAAAAACGTATGCTTTAATAGTATGTTTTGTTGCATCTTATTTAGTTGTAAAAAACAGTTCATGCCTTCCTTAACATATATGCATATATCACAAGTAACATTTGTTTTCTTATTTTAGCTTGTAGTCATGGACCAATTGGATACCAAATCTCTCAGCCTTGAAATTTCTTCCTGATATGATTCTTGAATTTCTGCTGTCATTTCCAAATATATAAAAGCCAACATGACAATTTGTTTCCTTTGTATTTTAACATGATTGAAAAAATTCTTAGTTCAGAATTCAATATAGTATGTAATATTAGTAGTTTAGACTACATGGAATCTCTTGAACGATTAGAGTGTGTAATTTTCTAAGAATATAAAAATTATTCATTTTAATATCATTGGTTTAAATGAAAAAATATTGGAAAGAGAAAGTAGGAGAAAAGCAAAGCCAAGAAGGTAGAAGCTATATTTTACTTAGAGAACCAGAAATGAAATTTGTAGCACTTTAACTGATACATTAGCTTGATCTCTGCTGTGCTATGCGTTTTCATTTATTTAAGGTGAACCTGTGGATTTATTTAGTTTTTGCACCATGTTGCACTTACCTGCACCTTCAATTGCTTTGTGATACTACTTATAGGAAAGGAAGATGATACAATAAATAGTGGATGATGTCAGTTCCCTGAGATTAGTTGACTATTATTGACTTTGCTATAGAAGTTTGTTTTCTAAGGGATGCAAAGATGTGTATAATACGTTTAAAACTTGCTCATGTGGCATATATCCTATTTGATATTGGGCATAATAGTATTGATATTCCTGCAATCCACGTGATTACTGAAATTGGAAGTATGTGTTCTGTTACAATGGAAAGTGAGCAACTGAAAATTATTTCCTGAAATATATTTTATTGACTTGAAAATAAATAGCTAAATAAATATCTTGCCTTCAAATTTAATCCACAGGAAAAATCTTTAGACTTGTTTTACCCATACCTTCCAGTATATTAACATTTGCTTTCTTTGTGCTTTTTTTGGTCAGGATTGGCTGGTTTATGTTTACCAAGTATTTGAAAGGTATGAAGTACTGTACGAGTGCTAAAATCTATTTTATACGGAATCTAAGAGCCGACTTGAGCAGCATCCGGCTTTGTGAGTGAATACAGCAATGATGATTAAAATCAACATCATTTGTAATTTAAAATACTGTGTACAACAAAGAAGACCCAGCTATGGCTTTCATTTTGTCAGCCTGCAAATATAGATTGCTGAACAGCGGTAGTCTGTCAATATAAAGCATTCAGC